GATAAAAGGGAAAAAGGACTGATATGTACAAATGTATGTATAGCAGCTCTTTTAGTCGTGGTAAAGAATTGGAAATTGAGGGGATGTCCATCAATTGGGGTATGGTTGAACAAATTCTCCTGTATGTTTGTGATCGAATACTATTGAGCTATAAGAAATGATGAGGGGGGTGGTTTCAGAAAAACTTGGGGAGACCTCATGCAGATTGAAGTGAGCAGAACATTGTACAGAATAACAGTAATACTATAACAATGACTAAATGCAAAAAGAATTAGCTAGTCTCATCAAGATGGTAATCCAAGGCAGTTAGTTGCAGAGGACCCATGATTAAAAAGGCTGCTGTTTGACAGAGTTGATAGAGCGCTGGGCTTGGAGTCAGAAAGACCAGAATTCAAATTTGACCTCAGATACTTACTAGCTTTGTGACCCTGGGCAAGTCACTTAACCCCTGCCTGAATAAAACTAGAGAAGGAAATGGCAAATCATTCCAGTATCTTTGGCAAGAAAACCCATGGACATTTGGTTTACGGGGTCACAAATTGTAGGACATGCCTGTACAACTGAACTACAATTTGAAAAATGCTGTCAACCTCCAGAGAGAGAACTGATGAAGTCTGAGTGTAAATTGAACCATCCTTTTGTTTTGGGGTTTTTTTTAAATTTCTTTGTTTCTCCTTTTAATTTTTTTTTCAAATCTTAGCTTATTGCTTGCCTTTTCAGTTGTGGGGCAGGGATGAGAGGGAGAGAATTTGGAAATCAAATTTTTATTTTTAAAAATTAATGCTAAAAATGAATGAATGAATGAATAACAGGGGGAAAAAGACAATGGTATTTTAATTGCTTCCTAACTGTTCTCTCTGACTAATGTCCCTCTTCTCTGTAACCCATTCTCCATGTAGCTTACAAAGTGATTTTCTGAAAGTAAAAGTCTTGACCATGTTTCTTCCTTACTCACTAAACTCCAATAGCTCCCTGTTGCATATAGGATCAAATATAATATAGTCGGCTACTGGCAGCTAGGTAGTGCAGTGGATAGAGTGCTGGGCCTGGTGTCAGGAAGACTCATCTTTATGAGTTTAAGTCAGACACTTGCCAGCTTTGTGACTCTGGGCAAGTCTTTTAACCCAATTTACCTCAGTTCCTCATCTGTAAAATGAGCTGGAGAAGGAAGTGGTAAACCACTCCAGTATCTTTGCTGAGAAAATCCCAAATGGGGTCATGAAGAGTTGGACACAACTGAAATAACCAAACAACAACATAATCTGATGTTTGGTTTTTAAAATCCATTACAACTTGATTCCAACTCATCTTCTGAATTTTATTCCGCTTCCCATATTCAGCTGGACCTGATTGGCCTTCTTGCTTTTTCTCACATACATCACTCCATCCCATACTTTTGTAGTAACTGTCCTCCCATCCTACAGTACATTCCCACCTCTTATAAATTATTGAATTGTTGTTTTATTCAAAATTCTGTGACACCTACATGAAGCCTTTCTTAATTCTCCAGCTGTTAGTTTCCATCCCAACAAAGAATTTAGTTTGTATTTATTTTGTGTACTGTTTGTATTTATTTATGTACTTATTGTTTCCTCCAATAAAATGGAAAGCCCTTGAGAGACTGTTTCATTCTTGTCTCTGCATCACTAGCATCTAGTGCATAGTTGGCCCTCAGTAAATACTTGCCAGTTGATATACTGATTGATTGATTGAAGGACATTGATGGGCTAGAAGAGAACAACTAGGGTGGTAAAGGGACTTCAGCTCTTGTCATATAAGAACTAGTAGAATGAACTAGATATGTTTGGTTTGAAGGAAAGAAGACTTAGCCAAGACATATGGGCTATGGTCATGTATCTAAAGGGCTGTGCGGTGGAGGAGGAAGTAGACTTCTATTTGACCCCAGAAAGCAGAACCACGAGCAGTGGGTGGCAGTTGCAGAAGCAAATTTAAGCTCAGTGTCATGAAAAATGTCTTAATAATTTGAGCTAAGAGTGAAATGGTTTCCTGGATAGATTATAGTGTTGCAACACAGAAAATGCTTAATTAATGCTTTAATTTTCCTATTGAGAGGTAGTGGTTCCCCCTCATTGGAAGCCTTCCAGCGGTAAGTTATAATGAAGATCCCACTATTATATAGGTTGGACTAAATGGTTGCTGAAATTACTTCTCTCAAATTCTATAATTCTGTGATCAGTTGTCTTTTAAGTGTTAGAGTTCTGACTCCAAAGTCAGAAGACCTAATTTTGAATCTGGTTTTATATTCTTACTAACTGTATGCTTGAGAAAAATCATTTTAACTCTATAAGCCTCAGTTTCCTCATGTGTAAAAAACCAAACCAAACCAGATAGTTGTTTAAAAAGTATCTCCACTGTTAAGTCTCATGTTTACTATTCACTGGGGAAAATTAGAAGATATTCCTCTCCCCACAAAAATTATTTGTATTTATATTGTTTATATTTTCTGTTTACTCATCTGAATAAATGTTCACTCTCTTCAACCTCTACCCCTCATTTTAGAAGAGCCTGGAGAGCAGGAACTCCTTTTTTTTGCCTCTTTATTCCCAGCCCCTTTCCCTGTACCTGATCACACTAAAAATTTAATAAATACTTCTTGAATTAAAGAAGTGTGATATGGTTGAGTTAATTTTATATTCAGTCATGAGTTCCAGTCCTGCATATTGCCTTTACCATGATCACATGCTCTTCCTCCATCCATTACCCGCTGCCACCCTATACTAGTATAGCCAACTTCCAGATCTGTGTGTCCCTCTTAGTACCCTGGATGATAGCCACACCAGGGGCGGGGTAGGACATTGCCTCCCTCTGCTGAGATAGAGTTCAGTTCTGGAAAGAACAATTATTCCCAGAGGTGAACATTCTCCCTAATCAAACACATTATAAGACCCCTTTCTTTTTGTCCTCTGCCATGCTTCAGTGGTCCCTCTTTGTTTCCTCCTTTTAGAATGAGACCTTGCCATTCCTTCACTTACTCCAGTTCCTCTCCTCTACTGTTCTTACCCTTTTCTTATATTACCCTTCATTAAAAGACTAAATAAATTACTCTTTTTCTCTGCTTATGTCCCAGCCAGGTGAGAGAGCATGTCTAGCTCCCTTCTGTTTCTTGCCTCCCATTTCCTCACTTAGGGAACTTCTCACTGTTTTATTCTCCTGTCTCTCTTCCCCTTTCCTCCATGCACACAAAATCCTGATTCGTTTCTAGAGGGGTATAAATTTTAAAGTATTCTTCAATGAAATAAAAATTATTTAAGTAGAGAGATATTCAGTGTTTGTGGTTGGCTTGAGTCAATGTGATACACGTGATCTTATCTGAAGAAATTTATAGATTTAGTGATACACCAGTCAAACTACTAAGAGGTAGAAACTTCAAATAAGAAGCAGCACTTCCAGATCACAGGTTATACTATGAAGCTGTAATCAGAAAAGCTATTTATTCTCATTTAAAAAGTTTAAAATGGATTATCAGAACAGACTAGAAAAGCAAGTCAGAAACAATAACACTCAATAAAAGTGTTTGATAAATTTAAGAACATGAACTATGTGCATATTCCCTCTTTGACGAAAAGTGCTGGGAAAACTGGAAAATAGTTTGGCAGAACCCAGCACCTTATTCTTCATACCACAGTTACTCAAAATGGATATGCAGCCTGAATATGAAAGGTCGCACCATTTTTTTTTAAATCAAGAGAAAATGAGATGGTAGGGAAAGAATTCTTAAATAAGGGACAGAGGGTGTCACAAAAGGTAAGAGATTTCAGTTATGTGAAACTGACAACTTGTAAAAGAACAATCTGCAACTAAGATAAGGGAAGTTGTCAATTGAAAAATAAAATCTTTCCATCAAGTATTTCTGGTGTGGGTTTCATATCCAATATATGAACTAAAAGAAATATATGAAACCAGAACCATTTTTCCATGGATAAGTACTAGATACTTTTAAGTACATAGATAAGTGCTAGAGATAGCTCAGATAGGCTCACGAGAGCTTATTGTTAAATTTTCAGCATGAGCATGAACCTTAGAAACTGCAAATACTACAAATCCAGACTTGATTTGTTTTGTTGGTTGTCTGGACTTAAAGTGATACAAAAATGATAATAATGCAGATTAAATGTAAAAGTGTATCCTGCATTGTAGAGATGGTTGTCAAACATTCAAACTATAAATTGATTTAGCCATTTTAGGAAAGCATTTTGTAATTATGCAGAAGAAGTGACTGAAATGTTTATATCTTTTGATCCAGAGATTCTGCATCTAGTTATATTCCCCAAGAAAGCCCCAAGACAGGTCTCATGTATACCAGAATATTCATAGCACCAGTTTTTGTGGTTATTAAGAACTGGAAACAAACTGAATGCCATCAGTTGGGGAGTGGATAAACAAATTATGTAACATGAATATAATGGGATATTACTGCACTATAAGAATTACTAAGACAAAGATTTCAGAGAAGCATGGAAGATTTATTTGAACTGATGAAAATGAAGTAAAGAGAACAAGGAAAACAATATATCCAATGACCAACACAAATGTAATTAAATATTATTTAATTATAATTTCCAAGTTTAGGTCCAAGAAAATAAGAAAATGAACCTCTGTCCTTTTTTTTTTCCAGAAGTGGAGAACTATAGGTGTGGAACATTGCACCTACAGTCAAGCTCAATTGAATTGTTGGACCGTTTTGCTGAACTGCTTATTTTTTTCTTTTTTATTCTATTTCAGTAGATGGCTTGTTGGATAGAAGAAAGTAGAGTGATATATTTGGAACAGAGATTGTATTAAAATTAAAATTATTAATAATTTTTTAAAAAATTTGAATAAAACTCTTAATTTATAAGGCATATTAATAGTAATATTATATCTTCTAATCTACTTTTTGTCCTTAGTCTAAAATAGACTGTAACTTAGTACAGAGGTCATTGTTTGAATCTGTTTTGCCACTTGTATTCTGATAACAAATTTTGTATTGCATTTCACAGTTCCAATGGAGAATGTTGCAACAATTGCTGATTGTGCTAGTGTGATTGAGGGCGTGAGTCGTAGTCGCAATGCCTTGTTGAATGGTGACACCAAGAATTATGATTGGGATTCTGGGTACACCTGTCACCAACTAGGAAGTGGTGCCATTGTGGTTCAGCTGGCACAGCCATATATGATTGGGTCAATACGGTAAGATGATTATTTTTTCTTATGAAATGTCAATATATATGGCTTTTGTTGTCCTAACAAGTTGTCCACTTTAGAAGTGTAATGATTGTTTATTCACTTAGACAAGTCAGGAACTTCTTTTTCAAAACTTACTTTGTCTGATTTAGAAGAAACTTTATTTCACATTTTTTTAACTCTTGTGCAGTGAGGGGATGTCGCATAATACAGTTCCAAGTAATTATATGAACTTACCTGTGTGCATTCTCAAACACATATCTCATGTTTGCAGTTAAAATGTTTGCTTCCCCAGATCACCTGAAGTAACCTCACTTAACCACTGAACTTGAGGGTAGGTAAGAAGCTCTTAGAAGTGGTCTAGAGCAGTTATTTTATGTGGGTTGACAGAGTATGGCTCTAACATAAAACAAATTGTGAACAAAATAGGATTTGAATAAAAATTAAAAACAGCCCTAAGCAATGCTACTTTTTGACTTGATGATTTTATAAGAATCTCAGTTTATAGAGAAAATTCGAGCTTACTTCACAGACACAGTGAATTTCAGAATCTCAGAGCTGGAAGAGACTTCTTTGGCCATCTAGTCCAACTCATACCTAAAAAAGACTCCCCTCTCCAAAATACCTGATAAGCATTTAAGCAAAATTTGCTTAAAGACCTCCATTTGGGGGTGTGGAGAAGAGAATTCACTGCCTATTTTCCACTTATGGATTGCTCTAATTATTTGGCAATTTTTCCTGACACTGAGCCTTAATTTGCCTGTTGTATAACTTTTTACCTGTTGCTTTCAGTTCTTAATGAAGACATGCTTGTTCTTTGTGATCACCTCTTCCTTTTCTAGATGTTTACTAACCCCTCCTTTAGTAATACAGCCTAATTTTTTTTTCAAGATTTGAATTAACTCCCACTAGCCTGTAGTTTGGAGAGTTTTGTTGGTGTCATTAAAGATTACCAGCTGCCATAACTTCAATGGCTACTCTATATTTAGAGAGAAGGATGCTCAGACTGTAGCAGATGTTTTTCACAATAATTAGTAGTAGTATATGTACTGCTCATATTTATGATTTCATTCTAATAGGGATGAGGTCAGGTACTGTAGTTCCATTTTAACCAGAGTAGGACATGTTCTCCACAAGTTTCTTCTCCATTGCAAAAAGCATGAGACATGATCAATATTGTAAACAACTATGGCAGTTATAAATTTCTTAGATACAACCCACAGCTTCATAGGATAAATTGAATTCAGAAGAATGTACCCAAGTGATCTGAACTGCTGCTCTAGGAAGCAGAGTTCCAGCTATTGGGGAGATTTTAAAATAGCTTAGTGAATTAAGAAATGAATATAATATTTTAAAGGTACCAATAAAAAAGGTATACTTTTTTGCAAATAAGTTGAATTAGAGATTAACAATATTTTACCTATGTATGAGTCTAGAAACATCTTAGGGGGCAGTAGTCTTAATTCAAGTAATCATATAATTGTATAGGTTAGAAAAAAATTAGAAGTTATTTAATATAATCCCCTTCACCATACATGAATCCCCTCTGTAGCATCCATCCCTTAGAGACAGTCATCTAGCCTCCATTTATCACAGCTCCAGTGATAATGAACTCATCCAGATTCCACAAGATCATCTGTCTGATTTTTGGGTAATTCCAATAATCAGAAATTCTTAGTTTGTTTTGAAAAGTATGTTGAGCCTCCTCAAAGTAAGCTTCTGCTTATTTTCTGAGAACTGTATAGAAGAACTTGAGAGTGTTCTCAATTGATTTCCCTTCTAAAAATGAGATTCTAATGAGCAAAGTTCCTTGGAAGTATTTCTCACAAAGAAATTAAAACCGACTTCTTTTATTTTTTACTAAAATCATGAATTTTTGTTTTTACTAGAAGGGTAGAATTTACCCTGACCAGGATATATTCCTATTTATATGAGACTCATAAAGGGACTCTGTCAATCATTCAGCATTCCTCATACCATGTTTGTTAATATCACTTTATAATATGGCAGGTAGGATCATCCAAAAAAAGTAAAACATCCTCCAGCCTAATGACTCTTAGGAGCAATCCTGACACTAGTCATCTTCTTTGTTTTTATTGTAAGAAAAATTAATCGAGGATTCCTTTATAGTAAGTAAATCCTTTTAAAACCCAGCCTTCATGAGAGGTATTTTTTTCAGATATGGTATAGAACAAATTTGGTATAAAAGGGATTCTGGTAATTTAAGTCAATCTCTCTTACTCTTTCTTAGCCCCAGGAGGCAGCTAGCAACATAATAAAGAGAGTGCTAGTCTTAAGAGTCGGGAAAACCTGAATTCAGATGTGGCCTTAGACACTTAATAGCTATGTGACTCTAGTCAAGTCACTTAACTTTTTCTTCAGCTATAAAATGGGAATAATAATAGCACTTACCTCACAGGGTTATTGTGAGGCTCAGATAAAGTAATATATGTATAGTGTTTTATAAACCTCGAGGCACTATTTAGGTTAGCTTCCTCCCCCCCCCCCCCATAAAACGAGAATTGTGGATAGATTATAATGTGAGATTCTCCCTGGATATGGCTTTCTACTTATTTTCTTCTTAAACTTCTGAAGTTTTTTAGATGGCTTTGAAAGCTGTCAAGAGATTAAATAAATAAACATCATTGTTTTTAGTTGCATAGTTTATTGTATAAGCACTGAATCATTTTAAATATTGAGAAAGAGCACTGTCATAGTAGCTCCCCTGATTTATATTTGGAACTGGCCTTTTTACTCTCTTAAGAGGGAATTTTATGCAGACACTACTGGATTTGCAAGAACTGTATTTTTTGGTGTGGGACTGTGCCCCAAGGGCAGCCCATTAAGTCAAGAAAGCTGACAGGTTCTAGAGTGAGAGATCTCTTTATAGCTGCTAATAGGGCCTCTGAGGAGTTAGTTGAGGAAGGAGACATCTAGCCTTCTTCATTTCACATTGGCATTTCTTCCTCCCATAAAAAAGTAAAGTAAAAAGATAAAATAATGTCATTTTAATACAATAAAGGTTTTTTCACAATAAGGTTAAAACCTATAAAGCTTAGTACAACTTGCTGGTGTCTTGGGCTACCTTGGGGATTTGATGCTGGATTTCTTGTAGTCACAAAGTGTGGAACCCTTCATAAAATGAAACTTTATAATTGGCTAGGTTACCAGTTGAGAACAACTGGTAGGGAGCCTTTAAGCTTGAACCTCAGACTAGAAGGCTTTGTGTTTGATAAATGGGAAAAGTGGTAGCATTCGAGGAAATAGAGCCCAGATCCTCTTAAAACACCCTTGTGAGGTTTTGAAATGCATGCATCTAGAAGGAAATAAGAAGGATCACCTTTACATTTCCCCAGCAAGCTCTGGAATCCACACAACAACTCCCAGACTCCAGAGATGCTAATACAAGCTGGGGTAGAGCGCAGAGAAGCCCTGGGAAATTCAACACAGGTCCAGTGTAGTTAAGCCTGGAAGCAGGAGAAAAGTCCCAAAGACTGACCCTGGTATCCCTGAAGTCCTTGACAACAAGGGATTTCTGGAAGGGGTTCGGCCTAGCACAGAGCTCCAAGTCAGCAGGATCTGAACGGTAGGTCCATGAATCTAGAATCAGGAGAGAGAACCGGGACAAAGCCCAGCCCAAGGTGTCTCCTAATCCTTTCAGGGAAGCTTAGTACAGGAGCACACCCTGAGCCTAGAAGCAGGAGGGAAGGACTCCAGTGAGCCTAATGCAGGAGGAGGACTTGCAACCCTATGGCAAGAGAGAGAGCCTCCCAGACAGAGCCTAATACTAGACTAGTCTGAGAGTCCCTTGAAGAAGGATCTTAGTCTTGGCCGCTATGATCAAGACCAGGAAGTCCTTGCCCATGCCATTCAGTCATAGAGCCTGGTCCAAGCACTGGCCTTCCCTCTACTCTATCCCCCCAGATTAGACACTGAGGCTGCAGAAATAAGGAAACCAAGGAAAACTCTGCATATCGTGAGGAAATGCCTTGGTTGGAAAGAACCCCTGGAGGTAAACCCAAATGAAGATAGCAGCCCTAAGACAACTACAGGTAAACCTGGGTGGCGAGAGGGGGACATCCTGGCCACCAAGGACTATAGGAATACCTAGAAGAAATAAAACAAGAGATACAAAATGGAATAACCAGGGAGGAAAGAATGTTAAGAATTGATATTTTAGAAGAGTCAGTGGAAAACCTCATCCAAAAACTAAATGCTACTAAAATTAAAATGAGCTATGTAGAAAGAAATGACCCTAAGACAACAAGAAAATATTTTTAAAAGTCAAAGAGTTGAAAAAAATATGTCTGAGAAACATTTTATCAGCAAAAACTGACCTTGAAAACAAGTCCAGGGGAGATAATCTAAATCTTCAAACTATCTGCAGATCATGACAAAAAAAAGTCCAAATATCACATTTCAAGAAATTATAAATGAAAATTGTCCTGAACTCTTAGAATCAAAATGCAAAGAACCCACCAATAGCCTCCTGAAAGAAACCAAAAAAGAAGAAGAAGAGGAGGAGAAGGAGGAGAAGAAGAAGAGGAGAAGAAGGAGGAGAAGAAGAAGGAGAAGAAGAAGGAGAAGGAGGAGGAGGAGGAGGAGGAGGAGAAGAGAGAAGAAGAAGAAGAAGAAGAAGAAGAAGAAGAAGAAGAAGAAGAAGAAGAAGAAGAAGAAGAAGAAGAAGAAGAAGAAGAAGAATGATGATGATAATAGGACCAGGAATATAATAGCCAAAATCCAGAGCTTCTAGTTCAAAGAGAAAAGAGGTCAAAAAGAGCCAAAAAGAGTTCAAGTGCCAAGGAGCCACAGCAAGGATCAGACCACATAGCAGTTGCTTTTTTTAGGAGAGGAGAATTTGGAATCCTCATTCCAAAAGGCAAAAGATAAAGGCTGAGGAGTATAATCCTTCAAGTGAGGGGTGGAGGGGTGCGCCTTTCACTTGAGAAGATTTTCAAGCATTCCAGATGAAAAGACAAGAACTGAATAGATTTTTTGAAATGGAA